GGAGCTAATGGGATTGTAATCCGATGTGGTCTAAAGCATTTCCAGGGTGTGTTGGTCCTGAGGTTTCTTGGGAGGGACTCCAGGGCTAGTCAATGTCAGATACCACCTGTGACCAGCCCTAGGCTTCAAAGTCATCCATGTTTGGTAGCTGCCCGTCCTAGGCTTATGAATGTGTGGAAGGGGCTAAGCTGTGTATTTAGGCAGGCTACCACCAGTACTGGGCCTGGCACAGGTCAGCTAAAGGCCCAGAGTATCCCAAGATTTGCCACCACATGCTTCTTTTTGTTAGGCTCAGCCATTAAAAGACACTCAAACGGTAGTTGGGTTGTTTGAGGCAGGTTCTCAATGAGTCATCACACAGGGGGCAGGCAGTGTTTACCATGTGAATGCAGACCCAAACTCAGCTCCAATGCTAGATCTGAGGCCACGCAACAAAAGTCTCTAGTGCACCATGCCAGCTGCCAGCTTCCTGGGGCATGCATACCTCTGAGGTCGGGCAGTGTCTCAGGGAGTTGTCAGGATGGAGCCAGTAGATTTCATCAGCCTAAAACACATTAAGGTTTGGTTTTGTGGAGGGAGGTTCTGCACATAATGGTGGCAGCTATTGGACATGTGGGAAGATGTCCCTTGCCTTAAAGCCTCTTTCTGTGTGTATGTATCCAAGGCCCACTTGGTCCTAGCTGAACAAGAGGCTGTGACCTGTCATGCCCCTTTTGCTTTTCAGTGTAACCGAAGGGATATGTAGCCTAGGGCAAGTCTGAGAGACTCATCCCAAGATAAAATTCATAAATAATTTTGTCATAAAAAAAAAAAAGAAAAGCTTCGGGTACATCTCAATCATCTCAGAATTGCAGTTAAAAACTTCCATTATACAAGCAAATAGCAGCAGAGGATGGCTAATCTTAAATGTACCAACCAAAAATAACGAACCAATACCCCCCTGAAAACAATGAAAAAAGTGCCATCCCATTTCTCCCCTTTGTACTTTTATCCTGGGATTTCATTTAAGACCTGAAGCCTCTGAGAAAATGAAAAAGGCAAAGCCACGAAGGGAAACTTCTTGAAAGCTAAATTTTGGAAGGCAAAGTAAAAGCTGTAAATAAAAGTTTGGGGACTGTTTAGGGAAAAATTAACAACCCAGGACATTTTTTTCTTAGATGAGAAATCTCTGAAGTCCAGATCTCCTTTCTAGAATCATCTTGAATTCTTTAGTTATGAGGCAATAAACACAAGTGAAATGAGTCAAGTGCCAGCCAGGGATTTAAAAAAAAAGCCAAAAAAACCCCAAAGAGCCAATCAAAATAACTCTGCTGTTAGGGCAATAGAGATACATAAGAAAGGACTGTTTGCAAAACATCTGTGGTTCTGAAGAAATTTCTACTCGGTGGTTCTTTTTGTTTCTGTCAAAAATCAGAGTGAAGTTTCAAGACTCTTAGAGTTATTAAAAGATGAAAAGAACATGACAGTGTTTTGAACAATGTTAAAATGGTACCCAAATTTGGTGTTTAGACAACTCATTTTTAAAAAAAGACAATAGCTTAAAAGTCACAGAAAAAAAATGTGAACATAGAGAACAGAAACAATCCAAGATAATGATGCAGCCCAGATACAGCATGTTCAATATCTCTGCTGTGCAGAAAAGTAACCCCCTCCCCCCTTCTCATCCTTATGCTGGCAGCAGGAGATGCACTAGAAAATTTAACCCTTAGAGTTAGTGAATAGAAGGATGAGCTTATACATCTTCATTGCTCTTTTTTAAATGGCTGCTTATGATTTAAAGGATGTCCTAATAGAAAGACAGGGTACAGGGCAAGAGGCTGTTCCACATTTTAGTCCATTAGTCTTTGGCAGAGCCTAATTAAGGCCAGATTCACCTAGGATGCCCAATGGCTGTGGGGGAATCTCCTCAAGGTCAAGTAAACAAACCCAGATGAACATGGTAGATTTAAAAACAAACAAACCCTAGAAACCTTTGAAGGAGGAGCTTCATCTTGAAAAGGGAAGGGAGAAATGCTGAAAGGGGTAAGGTGGAGGGGTGGTTGATCTCTGCTGCAATGTGCTGGGGCTTAGAAGTTGAACTAGGGGTGCTGGAGACAAGCAAAGGCAGTGATTGTCTTCTCGAGGATGAGCTCCAACAGGGGCAGTAAAATTCTGTGAAGCCAGATGCCCCTTCCTGAGACCACTCATCCTTGTTTATTAAAACCTCAAAAAGGCCTCAGGATTTTGGCTTCCTGATGTGTTTGAGGTCACCTTTTTTGGCAAAAAACTCTTTGGAATATTTTCCTGCCACAATGAACTTATGAGACATCTTCCCCACAAGTTCTATGATTAATGCAATATGATCTTCATCTTGAGTGTACTCTTCTCCTGAGTAAGGTTCAAACAAATAGTCACCTGTGGCCAGTTCAAAGGCCATGCATGCTGTGCCCCAGATGTCAGCAGGGGTACTATAGCCAGGTCTTACTAGAACATCTAAGAAGCAATACCACCATGTTTGAGTATCTTCAGTGAAATGTTTGTGCACCCAACATGCATTTTTGGAGCTTCTCTGCATTTTTTGGGTGAAGTAGATTCACAAAATTTCCAGCCATGGATTTGTTGTCCAGTGTTCCATTATGTTCTCCGTCCTGTTCACTGAATGCCAGGTCTACATTCAATGAAGAGTGGCACACCATGCTATCTGACATCTCAGAGGTTAGAGGTGTACAAGAATCTGTTTCTTGAGATGTGCTGCTGTCTCATTTTAGGTCAGGAAACTAGTTTCCTGCTTCAAATTTTTTACATTACAGTCATTGGCATTATGTAGATCCTCCTTAAGCCTCAATATTTCTTTTGTAAAAATATATTTTATTGATTATACTATCACAGCTGTCCTACTTCCCACGCCTTACTTCCCTCCATTATGCACACCCCATCCCACCCACATTCCCCCTTTAGTTCATGTCCATGGGTCACACACATAAGTTCTTTGGCTTCTACACCTCTTGTCCCATTCCCTCCCTCCCCCTCCCTGCTGACAACCCTCCATGCGATCTCCACCTCTGTGACTCTCCTCCGGCTCCAATCCTTCGTGCAGTTTGTTCTTGTTTTGGGATTTTTTTGTTGTTGTTGTTAAGTTGTTGATAGTCGTGAGCCTATTGTCACCTTACTGTTCATATTCTTGGATCTCCCTCCTTTTCTTACATAAGCCCCTTTAATATTTCATATAATAAGGGCTTGGTGATGATGAACTCCTTGAATTTGATCTTGTCTGGGAAGCACTTTATCTACCCTTCCAGTCTAAATGATAGCTTCGCTGGATAATCTTGGATGTAGGTCTTAGCCTTTCATGACTTCAAATACTTCTTTCCAGCCCCTTCTAGCCTGTGAGGCTTCTTTTGAGAAATCACCTTCTTTTGAGTCTTATGGGCACTTCTTTGTAGGTAAGTGTCTCCTTTTCTCTTGCTACTTTTAAGATTGTCTCCTTATCTTTAATCTTGGGTAAAGTAAATATGATGTGCCTTGGTGTCTACTTCCTTGGGTCCAACTTCTTTGGGACTCTCTGGACTTGGAAGTCTATTTCCTTTGCCAGATTGGGGAAGTTCTCCTTCATTATTTGTTCAAATAAATTTTCAACTTCTTGCTCTTCCTCTTCTTCTGGCACTTCTGTGATTCAGATGTTGGAACGTTTAGAGCTATCCTGGGTGTTCCTAAGCCTCTCCTCATTTTTAAAAATTTTTGTTTCTTCATTCTGTTCCAGTTGAATGTTTCTTTCTTCTTGTCCAAACCATTGATTTGAGTCCCGGTTTTCTTCTCGTCACTGTTGGTCCCCTGTACATTTTCCTTTATTTCACTTTTCATAGCCTTCACTTGTTCCTGTATTTTGTGAGCATACTCAACCAATTCAATGAGCTTCTGATTACCAGTGCTGAACTGTGCATCTGATAGATTGGCTTTCTCTTCATCACTTAGTTGTATTTTTTCTGGAGCTTTGATCTGTTCTTCATTTGGGCCTTTTTTTTGAAGTGCACCTTTTATGTAGTAAGGGGCAGAGAGCGTTAGGTGTTCGCCAGGGTGAGATAGCACACATATTGCTGCATTGTGGCTCTCTATGTGAGGGAGCAGTCTAAGAAGCAAAAGCTTGTTCAGCTCTTGGATGGCTTTTAATCACTTCCTTCATTACCCACAAGCTAATTGGGCCCTTCTGGTGCTGATTTTCAGGTGGTTGGGTTTGTGTACATTCTAGGACCCTGTGGGTCTCTCCAACGAACTCTCCTGTGAGGCTGGGAATTTATCCTGCCACCTCAACCCCGAAGGTTTTTTCAGTCAGGTTTTGAGGCCTTATTACTTCACTCTGGAACCTTGGGTTGCACAGTCTGTTTCTCTCTCCAGTTGTTCCTCCCGATTTAACTGCACGCAAATGTGGGACCGCCCACTTCACCAGCCACCATCTCGCCCGGTCCTTTTAGTTCTTAATTTAAATGTCACCCCTTCAGAAAATTCTTTACTGACTATCGTAAGAAACTTTTCCCACCCTCAGTTAGTACCCATTACAGCATCCTTTTTTATTTTAAATTTGTTTATTACTTCTTTTACTATTTCTTCTTCATATTACCCCTCCCTTCTGGATGCAGTTTCTTTTCCCTGAAGTGTATACCGTTTAGTAGTCTTTCCAGTAAGCTTTGGTGGTGAACCCTTGATTGTTGACTAAAATCATATTTATTTCATAATTGGCAGCCAACATCTTTTGCCAAGCACATACATATCCTTAAAAATGTGCTTAAAATTTTTTTTTTAGGTACCGTTTTCTGCCTTTCCTTCTCACCCCAGTGCCCAAGCCTTCCCCACCTCCCTCCCGTTTCCACCCCCCCAACCCCCATTGTTGTCCATGTGTCCTTTATGATTGTTCCTGCAAACCCTTCACCCTTTTCACCTGAAATTCTCTCTCCTCTGGCCACTGTCCATCTGTTTTCAATTTCAGTGTTTTTGGTTATATTTTGCTTTTTTGTTTGTTTTGTTGAAAAAATATGGAATGCTTCACAAATTTGCATATCATCCTTGCGCAGTGGCCATGCTAATCTTCTCTGTAACATTCTGATTTTAGCATATGTGCTGCCGAAGTGAACACTGGTTAAAAATTTTTTTAATCAGAAAACTTAGTCAGTGACTAAGAAAATAACTAAAATGTGCCCAAACTAACTTTCTTAATACTCCCAGCCAAAGTTAAGGATATCATTTACCCTCTGAATGGCCTCTTGAACTTTGGCTAGCCTTTCTAATTCTACCAGCTCTCAACATCATGTTCTTAATTAGCCAAGACCCACCCCAGCATGTACTTTCGATACAATGTAAGGACTCCCAGAAACATCTCAGGCATCCAGTCATGCCTCACACAGCTGGATTTTGCGTCCAAATCTTAGCCAGTTTCTGTTTTGGACAGGTAAATTACATTTGGCACAATTTTGCTCCCTTAGGAATGCTGTTCATCTGTATAAGTTTTCCTTTACCTCTCCAAGAACTTTTGATATTCTTAGTCCTTAGAACTAAGCTGAATTCCTCGATAATCAAGGAGTCAATCTGAGGAGCCCTCAAATCTATTCCATGTTTGGCAAACCATGGCTTGCAGGCCAAGTCAACCTGCCATATTGGAAAACAGCCACACTGATTCTTTTACATGCTGTCTGTGGCTTTCATTATATCAACAGAACTGAGTAGTTGCAACAGGCACCATATGCCTGTAAAGCCAAAAATACTTACTGTTTGTCCCTTAACAGAAAAAGTTTGCTGATCCCTTGACAAGCTGATTTATCTGTGATTGTCAAGCATGCTATTGGCCTTTAGTCATTCTAACCAAACGCTAGACAAATGTGCTACTCCCGAAAGTAACCAGAGTCTGTGTCCTTTTATATATGTTGTATATACACATATAGTATGGAAAAAGAGTGTCCAAACACTTCCTAGACTGTGATGAAATGTGATGTTCTTCTCTCTGGAAAGTTAGAAGCTTTTAAATTTTAAATGATTATTTTCCAGTTATATCTTAATTTGCATTTTTCTACTAAGAGAACCCTATCAAAGTCATTCTTTCATGCTTAGGACAAAATTAATCTCTGAAGATCAAATTCCTATTTCTCATAAAGAAAAAATGGAGAAAGAAGCTGAAAGTTGCTGCTTGCTCTCCTGTTCACATGTTCTTTGCTATAAAGAAACTTTTGGACTATTACCATTAAAAGATCACATCTACATTTGCTGACATATTCCTAAAGTTTAGATAAGTTCATGAAGTCCTTATTATTCAACTTTTTAATAACCCTGTTTTAGAGAATGTTTATAATTATCTCCTTATTAATCATAGAATGGTACAGAATTACTTTGTTTATGTGTACCATGATGGGGTGATCTTCAGACAGCTTTATGTACCTTTCCCTTTTGAGAGGTAATAAAATTCCAGAGAAGTAAGATGGCTTATTTTGAGTCTCATAATGAATATATTCTAAAGTGAAGACCCAGACTGAGATTACTCCAACTTTTATTATTGGGTCAGTATTGTTTCCTTTGTCTGCCTAATGAATGCAGTTAAATACCAGTATCTTACTGTGTAATTCTTACCACACTTTCACATTATCTCAATTGTCCCAATTTCCATGACAGTGCATCTTTCTTTTTATAGGAAATAGAGAAATGGAGAGGCTCTTGGACATATACTCATTGCTACTCTGCAATCAGGTAGCAAAGCCAGACTCTGACTTCAGAGATATTTGGCCCTGCAGTGATTTTTGTTGCATTCTTGGTGGTGGTTGTTGAGTCTGTTGGTTTATGTCTTTTATAAAGTCAGCCTGAGTACAAGCAGGCATGTGACCAGTAGTGCCATAGCAATGTGTACTAATTCATGGACCTGTCAAGCAGTCTTAAATTTAAATACTCCACATTGGCATAGTTGTTCATTCTTAAAAGTGCCTTATGTGAATTTCCTAATTAACACATACTTCTGTAAATATCACTACACCTATTTTACAGAAGAATAAAGGGAGTTAGGGACAGAGTAGCATTGGTGGAAGAACTTAAATTGAAATTGACTTTGTAATTTCTGGGCCTAGGCAATCAGCTTCAGCTCCAGTCGATGATTAATTGACATAACTGGAGGAGAGTATTGATTAGAGTCATCAGGTGCTATTTAAATGTTAATTCCAGGATAAGCAGTTTATCTTCTCTGGTGCCTCTGTAATGATGCTCTGTTAACAGCAGGTAAAAAGGCTTGCCTAAAAGGAATGAAATGTTGATAGTGACACACACTGACCAGCTCCTCACCCCCACCACCACCACTCCTAGTTATCTGGGAGTGAAGTACAGAGATCCCTCACCTGTGGAGGGAGTTACGTTCCAGAGACCCCCGAGATAGGTGAAAATCTGCAAGTTACGACCATATATATATATATATATATACACACACACACATATACACATATATATATGCTTTATAAACCCTTCCCACACTATTATGAACACTTAATATGCTCTTAAACCCTTTCTACACTCTTAAACCTATGTAATTTTAACAACATATAAAATTCTATATATGTACTCACCAGTGAAGTGTAGTGAAAATTCTGTGGTACAGCGAAAACTCTGAAATACAGAATTAAAAAAAAAAATGCAATACAGTGAAGCCGCAATAAGTGAACCGCAATACAGTGAGGGACTACTGTAGTCTCAGTAATCAGGCATTGACCTTTCCGTGCTGCTGGTGTTGCAGGTGGACACAGGTAACCAGGGTCTTGGTGATCACAAAGAATTGAACCAAACACACAAGAGAGTTTATAGCAGAAAGAGAGAGAGCAGATTTATTAAGTGATAGATAGCACACTCCACAGAACATGAGAGCAAGCCAACCCCAAGCAGAGATTGACCTCAGAGGCTGGAAGGATTCTACTTTTATAGGGTGGATCCTTCCTGCCTAGTTTTGCTGGGCTTTTATTGCACGTGTATAAGTAGTTGTATTACTTTAAAGCTACCACACATGTGGTCTCTTACGGTTTTCCCTGATTGGCCACTGGAGAAGGGGGTTGCACAATGTGAATTTATTATAATGCTATCAGAACGAATCAGGGGTCATGTAGCATCTCCTGCACAGATGCATTCTTGAGTCACCATGATTCAGAGTTTTTCCAGAAAGTGAGAACAACCTGTCTTAGAACAGAGTCTGTCCTGTATTGATGTTCTTTATTTGGCCTTGGGGCACCCCCAGAGTTTCCTCCTTCCTATCTCCTGCCCATTGGCACATGGGTAAAACTTCCCTCTGCATCCAGGAGGATGTCCTGTTCCTCTGACTTCCTAGTGAGGAAGGAGTTTCCCATCCCAATCCTTGAATGCTCCACTTTGGAATCTGTCCTACTTCCATTCTCCATGGCGGTGCAGGCCGAAATTTTTCTGTGGGAAATTTGGGTACAGATCCCAGTGGTGTTCTCCTGTGCCTTGCTGCCCAGACCCCACCTATAATTCTCAGTCCCTACTGTATGAGTCAGATTGGGCTCCTATAACAGAATACCACAAATGGGGTGGCTTAAACAACAGAAATTTATTTTCTCACAGTTGTGGAGCCGGAAGCCTAAGATCAAGGTTCTACCCGACTCGGTTTCTGGTGAGGACTCTATCTTGCAGATGGCTGCCTTCTCACTATGTCCTCACTTTCCTCAGTAAATGTATGTAAAGAGTGAAGGTGGGAGAGAGTCCATGTGAAAGCCAGAAGACCAAACTCTCTGGTGTCTATTATAATGACACTAATTCTGCCTGATCAGGACCCCATCCTTCTGATTTCATTTAATCCTAATTGTTTCCTAGAGTCCCCATATCCAAGTACAGGTACACTAGGGGGTTGGGACTTCCACATATAAATGCCATAACATCTGCCATGGATGTTCACAGAAGGAAGAATGCCTGTGGACAGTAAGACATCTTGGATAATATGAGACTCGAATAGTCTATAAAGGCTGGCTGAGTTTGGAATAGATGGAAGAAAGAAGGGAGGCAACTCCAGAAAGGGAAAATAGGAACAGCAAATATGTTGAATGTGGTGTGTCCGTGGAACAGGGAGGTATGATATAGAAATACACTGGCTTGTCAGAAGCTGAAGAACTGTGTCTCAGAAGGTTTGGGAGAAGTGTGCAGATACACTTTGCAGCCTCGTTGTGATGGATCTTGAAGACGTGCAAGTGGTCACAAGGATCTCTGGATGATGGAAAAGCAGAGCAAAAGTGGTATTTTAGGGAGAGTCCCCTGGCAGTCTTCCTATACTAGAGCATCTTATATTTAAATAAATCCTTTCAAAATGTGCTCTGGTCCCTCTTGTGGCATCTTTTTCAGGCATAGGGTCTGCCTCTGTCCTCCGTTGATACAAAAACGTGAGCTAGGACTGCATGTGGGAAGACTTCTGTTTCTTACTCCCAGAATGGTCTTCAGCCAGCCAGGGCTTCTAATACTAATGAAATTCATAAATGTCATACTAGACCAAATCCTCATTTTCTAACATTTTGTGAATTTATATAATTGTATTCCAAGAATAAAACACAGAAGATAGAGATTTATCCCAAACACCTTTTTTAAGTAGCCCGTTTTCTCTCATTTGTGGCTACTTAGATTACTTTCTTTTTCCCCCTCTTTATCACTTCTGAGCAATGATGGTTCTTTCCTTAAATTTTTTACTCACTTTTTACACATTGGTCCTTTATATATTTATTATTCTTTTCTCTCTAGGGGAAGGAGGCAGTGAAAAATAGTTTCTCAGTGTAGCCCTAGCATTGCACTTTGGTGTTTGTGTACATGCAGATTCCTGGGTCACACCCCAAACCTATAAAATCAATCCCCGGAGGTGGGAGGCAGGAGTCTGCATCTTTACCAAACTCCAGAGTAATTCATGGGCACATTAAGATCCTATAACAGTTGGCATAATATTTTAGAATATATACACTTTGAAGTTACTTAGACCTACATTTGAATCCTGCTTTTACCAACTTATTATTAGCTATGTCATTTTGGACAAGTTCATATGAGCCCTGCTTCTTAGTTTCCTCATCTAAAAACAGAAGCAGAGTAGTATATCTGTTTAGAGAACAGACTACAGAGCTCAACTGC